TTGGAGGAGTTTGATTGGAATTCTCTAGCCCCACTCGTGATTCGGGCCCAAAATTCTTGCGGACTGTACCCCTCTATATAACCTTGACCGTCAAGTCTGGAGGTATCCAAGATTCGAGCATTTGGGTCCCAACCAAATAGTTCATTGAAAGCACGGAGGGTAATGTGGCGGCCTTTGTTGAACAACCGGAATTTTACTTTGAATGCATCAATGCCTTCCATACCCTCTTCTTGATTTAACTCGAAGCTAGCAAGAAACTCCAATGTTAGGGGGCGGTAAGTTAGAGGCGGTTGGGTGGGGTAGTAGTAGGAAGTATCTACGGTGATGTAATCATTTGGCAATCTACAATCCAAGAACGCATCAAACCCCAGATTCACTGCAAGCTCCCTAACCTTCTCGTCTATTCCAATCATATAACAGTCGTGTTGGGAATAGAAGAGAGTTGGATTAATTGCCCTCCTATCCAATGCGGCCAATTTGGTCCTTTGGGCCGCATGTGGCAGGGTAATGTTGAATTGAGTGGGTTGAGCATGCCCACCACTACTACCGGCACCACTACTTTCTCCTACATTACCACTCCTTGGTTCGGCTCTTTGCCTCTTTGAACCACCAGCCATTTCTTACAACAACAATATAGAAATTTTCCAAAGCAACACACCACAACAACCCAACAATTTCCAACAATTCTACACAATGACCACAAAAACAAAACTCTCCAAAACTTTGCACAACCACCAATTCTAAAACCAAAACTTTCTACAAACCAAAACCTAGCAAAAATCCACAATAATTTTCCCTTGCCAAAGCACCACAACAAACAACACACTACAATTCACAACAAATTTTCACCACATAAAACACAAAACCCATTCATTCACCATCAATTCTCCAATTAAGCCAACCTTAATAAGCAAATATCCAAAGAAATAGGGAAAATTAACTTAGTAAGAGTAGGATTATACCAACAATTGGAGACAAATTAGCCTAGAGTTGAAATTGAAGAAGAACCCGACTTGGCCCGACGCGAACCCGGTAGAACCCGCTTCAATTCTTGATGAAATCCGGACTAGGTGCTGAATTCTTGATGGAGATGTATGATTTTTGGAGATAGGGGATGAATAATTTGTGAATTTTAGAGGAATTCGTAGTTGGAAGGTGGAGATTTGGAGGAGATGAAGGTTTGGTTATGGAGGAAGAAGTTGAGGGAGTTTGAGGTGAGAGAAGGGATAGGGATAGGGAGTTTGAGGTGAGAATTTGGGTGCTCAAAATTAAAAGGGGATAAAACGCAAAGTCTGAAATGAGGGTCGGAGCGGGCGCTCTAAGGGTAGAGCGGCCGCTCTAACATTTCGCTGAAAAATCAGGTTTCTGGGTTGAAAATCAAAGCGCCCGCTCTAAGACCAGGGCGCCCGCTCTAAAGCTGCGCAATTTTCCCACACTTAGTCAATTTTTCACCCAAAACTCAGAGCTCCCGCTCTCTGACCAGAGCGCCCGCTCTAGATTCTCGGATTTTAGCACCAAAAATGTAGAATTTCTGAGGGACCTTCGAAGCGCCCGCTCTACACCTAGAGCGCCCGCTCTAAATTCTCGAAATTTTCCTTCCTTAGCCCCCTTAAAATCAGAGCGCCCGCTCTACACCCAGAGCGCCCGCTCTACATTCTCGGATTTTGGCCTCAAGTATTCTGAATAATTCCCAATGATGCAGAGCGCCCGCCCTCTGTTTAGAGCGCCCGCTCTAGACTGTCGGATTTTTGGCTTTAAAAGCATTATTTCCCAAACCTGCAAACACTCAAATATCACTCAAACCAAAATCGTTAGTACTTCTATAGGATGCGACCTAAGTACCCGACTCAACCATTGATTGGTTGAGCCAAGAGGTCGTGCCCTTCGGTTTATAGCATTTTGGCTAACGATAACCAACATAAACCATCCCCTCTTTGGGGAAAAATCCTCCAGATTTTTGCAAAGTACTTAAAACAAAAAGTAACTAAAGAGATAGTTCAAAGACAAATATTCACAATATACTACAAAGCATGCTAGTTTAACGTCCCTAGCTTGACGTTACGTCACGAGCAATAAAGATAAGGGGGAGGAACGGTGTGGACCGTCCCAAGCATTAGGCAACCGATCTTTCCAATATCTCCTTCATCATAGTATCTTTTGATCCGTTGCCCATTCACCGTGAACCGGCTCCCATCTTCATGATTTTCCAATTCGAACGAGCCATAGGGGGTTACTTTGGTGATTGTAAACGGCCCCACCCATTTGGACTTGAGCTTCCCGGGAAAGAGTCGGAGACGTGAGTTGAAGAGAAGAACCTTGTTACCCACCTCGAAGTCACGATCTCGAATCCTTTTGTCGTGCCACCTCTTGGTTTGTTCTTTGTAGAGTCTAGAGCTCTCATAAGCATCATACCTCAACTCTTCCAACTCGTTGAGCTTGAGTAACCTCTTTTCTCCGGCCAAGTGAAGGTCCATGTTGAGTTCCTTTACAGCCCACCATGCCTTGTACTCCAATTCCACCGGAAGGTGGCATCCCTTACCATAGACAAGTCGATATGGCGTGGTGCCAATCGGTGTCTTGTAAGCGGTCCGTAAGGCCCATAGTACATCATCCAGTCTTAGGGACCAATCTTTTCTAGACTTGTTGACCATCCTCTCGAGCAAACTCTTAATTTCTCTGTTGGACACCTCCACTTGCCCTTGGGTTTGTGGATGGTAAGGGAGTCCAACCTTATGATGTACCCCATATTTTTTCAAAAGTGCTTCGAGTTGTTTCTTGGCGAAATGAGATCCGCCATCACTAATTAGGCACCGTGGCACCCCAAATCTAGGAAAGATGATCTTCTTGAGCAACTTCAACACTACCTTGTGGTCATTTGTGGGTGATGGTATCGCTTCCACCCATTTAGTCACATAATCCACAGCCACAAGGATATACAAATTCCCACATGAGGAGACAAACGGACCCATGAAGTCCACTCCCCATACATCAAATGGCTCAACTTCTAAGATTGATTGTTGCGGCATTTCATTTCTCTTTGTGATTCCTCCCATCCTTTGGCATCGGTCACATCGAAGGATGAACTTGTGAACATCTTTGCGCATAGTTGGCCACCAAAGCTTGCAACCTAGGATCCTTGCCACGGTCTTGTTGACACCTCCATGACTTCCACAAGGTAGTGAATGACAATGTTCCATAATACCTTCCATCTCATGATTTGCCACACATTTCCGGAACAAACCGTCACTACACTTCTTGTACAAGCTTGGATCATCCCAAAAATACCTCTTAACTTCCTTGAAGAACCTCTTCCTTTGTCGAGCATCATAGTCATGAGGTACCACCCCGCTTGCTAAATAATTTGCAATATCAGCGAACCAAGGGATGGTGTTGGTAACGATCGCCATAAGAGAGTCATCTCGAAGCTCATCATCGATGGGATCCTCTTTGTCAAGGTAAGAAGGGTGGTCTAACGGCAACCTTGAGAGGTGGTCAGCCACTAGGTTCTCACTTCCTTTCTTATCCCGTATTTCAATGTCAAATTCTTGTAAGAGAAGGACCCATCGGATTAGACGCGGCTTAGCATCCTTTTTGCTCATTAAATACTTCACCGCGGAGTGATCGGTGTAGACAATGGCCTTGTTGCACACCAAATAGGGTCTAAACTTGTCAAAAGCGAAGACCACCGCCAACATTTCCTTCTCCGTGGTGGTGTAATTCTTTTGTGCCGTATCTAAAGTCCGGCTTGCATAAGAGATCACATTCAATTTCTTTTCTTTCCTTTGCCCAAGGACTGCTCCAACTGCATTATCACTCGCGTCACACATTAGTTCAAACGGGAGTTCCCAATTCGGTGCTTGCACTATAGGCGCATTCACTAAAGCATTTTTCAAGGTTTCAAATGCCTTAGTGCAAGCATCATCGAATTTGAACTCCACCTCTTTTTGAAGTAAACTCGTCAAAGGTCTCGCTATTTGTGCAAAATCTTTGATAAATCGGCGATAGAAGCCGGCGTGCCCCAAGAAGGCACGTACCCCGGTCACCGATGATGGTGGGGGTAGCTTTTCTATCGCCGAGACCTTTGTCGGGTCTACCTCAATACCATTAATGGACACTTTATGCCCGAGGACAATGCCCTCCTCGACCATAAAATGGCACTTTTCCCAATTCAACACAAGGTTCGTCTCTTGACACCTCTTTAAAACCTTTTCGAGATTGTGCAAGCATAGGTCAAAAGACGAACCACAAACACTGAAATCATCCATGAAAACTTCTATTGCATTTTCGATCATATCAGAAAAGATTGCTGTCATACATCGTTGGAAAGTCGATGGGGCATTGCACAATCCGAAGGGCATCCTTCGGTAGGCAAATGTCCCAAATGGACAAGTGAAGGTTGTTTTATGTTGGTCATCCGGGTGAATTGGGATTTGAAAGAAACCCGAATAACCATCAAGAAAACAATAGTGTGAATGCTTCACCAACCTTTCCAACATTTGATCGATAAATGGCAAGGGGAAATGATCTTTTCTAGTGGCTTTATTAAGCCTCCTATAGTCAATGCACATTCTCCACCCCGTGACAGTGCGGGTGGAGATATCATTCCCCTTGTCATCTTGTATGATGGTCATGCCTCCCTTTTTGGGAACCACATGAACCGGGCTCACCCATTTGCTATCGGAGATAGCATAAATGATCCCCGCTTCACGTAGTTTGAGGATTTCCTTCTTAACCACTTCCTTCAAAGTCGGATTCAACCGCCTTTGAGGTTCAATGGAAGAGGCATGATCATCCTCAAGATGAATGCGATGCATACACAAGCTAGGGCTAATCCCCTTAATATCATCAATGCTATACCCGATAACACTCCTATATTTTTTTTAAAATCTCAATTAATTTTTGCAATGAGGTGTCATCGAGGTTAGCATTGACAATAATAGGATGTAAGCAATCATCATCCAAATAAGCATATTTGAGAGAAGGAGGGAGGGGTTTTAGTTCTACCTTGGGAGGAGGCGTGGAACTCTCCTCCTTAGACTCACTTTGGATCGATGGGAGCTCATCCACAGCTCCTTGAGTCTCGGGATGAGTTTCACCTTCAAGGCTTTCAACCTCCAAGGCACACAAAGATTCTCCTTCACCCACCTCCTCACATGGGAGGTCTTCATCACCCTTGTCTTTAATTACCTCATGAGACTTCACCAATTCATCAAGTTCGGAGTCCACCAAGTCCACCCGCCAAATCTTCTCTACCATAGGTTGCTTCAAAGTCTTTGAGAATTCAAACTTGTACTTCTCATTGGCCACCTCACATGTAATGGTATTATCTTTGCAATTGACGACCGCTCCCATGGTCTTGAGTGCCTCTCTTCCAAGGATAAGAGGAGTATGAGGGTCCTCCTCCATATCCATCACCACAAAATCGCAAGGCACAAACAAATTCCCAATCTTGATAGGAACGTCTTCTAACTCACCGCATGGGAATTTTGTGGACCGGTCGGCTAATTGAATCACCTTTCTTGAAGGTATCATCTCGAACTTGAGCTTCTTTGCAATGGATAGTGGCATGAGGCTCACACTTGCCCCAAGATCGGCTAGTGCACCCGTGGTCTCCATATCACCAATCTTGACCGGAAGAGTGAAGCTTCCCGGATCACATTGCTTGGTAGGCAAGGTTCTTTGCACTAGGGCACTAACTTGATGAGGAAGAGTGATACACTCATCACTTAGCTTCTTTTTGTTGGAGAGGAGTTCCTTGAGGAATTTTGCATAGGGTGGCATTTGAGTCATGGCTTCAAGGAATGGAATGTTGATGTGAAGTGACTTGAGCATAGCCATAAACTTGTTGTACTTGTCATTCAATCTCCTCTCAACAATCCTCTCGGGATAAGGCGGTGGTGGTTCAAACCTTGATGGTTGATAAGATGTTGATGGTTGCTTGTCTTTCCCAACTTCCTTGCTCTTTTCACTACCTTCACCCTTCTTCTTCTCAATGCTTCCTTCAACACTATTGTCAATTATTTGACCTTGGCTATCTCCATTGACCTCTTCAACCACTTGCTCTTCACCCTCCTTGTTGTGCTCCGATTGATCACTCCTAGGCCCCTCATAAGACTTTCCAGACCTAAGAGAGATAGCTTTGATATGATGGGTGGTAGCCGGGTTGGTAGTAGGTTGGCCCGGGAGCTTCTCATTGGCTAGATTGGTCACCCTCTCGGCGAGTTGAGCCACTTGATTATCCATCATCTTTTGATGTGCGGTGACCTCTTGATGCCTTTGATCCGCTTTTCGCTCACTATTGGTTATTCTTTGATCCATGGCGGATAGGCTTGATTGGATTCTATTGAGAGTTTCCATGAGCATTTGTTGATTAGGATCATTTTGCATGGAAGGGGTGGGTTGGAAATTCTGAAATTGGTTGGGTGGTCCTTGCTTGAATGGTGCTCTAGGGTGATTGCTAGCATTTGGATTTGGAAAGGGAGCCATTTGACCCGTGTTGTGGCTTGGGCCACTTGCATCTTGAAATCTATTACCATAATTGGCATTGGGGGCTCTCCAATTATCACGTTGATTGTTCATGTACCCCATTGCCGCTACATGTTCGGGGTCTCGACCACCACAATATGATATATCATGGTTGGTACCCCCACAATTCTCACAAGAGAAAGAGTGTACCTGATTGGTGGAGGAAGATGAAGACCCTTGGCTATTTCCCAGCTTCTTGTCAATGACTTGTTCCATAAGAGCCTTGAGTGAACCTTGATCAAGCTCGAATTTGCCCGAAGCTCTCTCTTCACCTCTTCTTCTTCCACCACTCGTAGAATAGTACCTCACAACTTCCTCTATGGTGTCCTCCAATTGAGCTTGAGGCACCTTGCTAATATGTCCACCACATCCGGAATTCAAATTTTGCTTGGGTATGTCGTCAAGACCATCATAGAAGAACTTGATGAGAAGTTGCTTGTCAAACTCATGGTGTGGGCAAGCTCTCCCATACTCTTTAAACCGGTCCCAAGCTTCCCCCAAAGATTCATACCTTTCTTGCCTAAATGATGAAATTTTCTGCCTCAATTCGGTTGATTTGTCTTCGGGAATGAACTTGTTCAAGAAAGCTTTGGCCGTGTCTCTCTATGTGGCCAACGAGCCGGGCTTTAGGTTTTTGAGCCACCTATAAGCCTTGCCTGTGAGCGAATACCGAAAAAGGTGCATCCGGATGTATTCTTGAGTGACTTGGTTGGTTTGGATTAAAGCACATGTCTCGAGAAATTTGTCCAAATGCTCTATCGGATCTTCATGAGCTGCTCCAGAAAATTGATCTCCACGCACCATTTGAGTGTAGTGCGGGTGGATAGTGAAATTTGTTTCCGTTGTAGGAAGTAGAATCCCACATTGCAATTCATGACTACCCGGATTACCAAAGTCACCAAAAAGAGCGCCATTGGCATCCCCCATGTCTGAAAAAATATCACTAGAAGAATCAAAGAACTCCTCCTCCTCACCCGTTTGTTCAACAAATAGTCTCCTCACTCGCCTTAGAGTGCGGTCAATGTCGAGATCGAGGTCGTGAGTAGGTGGTCCCTGTGATCTTCTAAGCATTCAACACAGCTAAGCAGACAATTAGCGAATGACAACAACGGAGAAATAAATGAAAAATAGAAGGATAGAAGTAGAAAACAATTGAAAAACAAGATAACTAAGCAATAAACAATGTTGCCATTCCCCGGCAACGGCGCCAAAACATGATCGGCCCCCTAGGTGTCGTTAGTTCCTAAAGGTCGAGTCAAGAATAAAAAGAAAACCCACGTCCTAAACTAACCAAAGGTAGCATAGTGGAAGAGGGGTCGAATCCTCAGGGAAGGTCAAACGTCTCTTGCTTAGATCACTTATAAGTCAATTGAAAAGGGAGGAATAAATTTTTGATGGATTTATCTATAGCTACTAGGGAAACAAATAAACTAAGAACTAAATTAACAAGCAACAAGCAGAGGTATAAAACTTCGAAAATCAAGGAATAGCAAACACTAGGGGATAGAGGAGAATTCCTAACTAACAATGATTTCAACAATTAGAGGCAACAAGAATGGTTCAATCGGTCAACCAAACAATTGGGGCCTATGGTCCAACATCTAGGATTCCCTCTCGGGCTCACCTAAACACCGCCTACCCAACCCCGCCTCGGTGGTCGAGGTCATCCCTAACCTAGTCATCATCACATACAAGCTCACTCTCGCGCAACTAGCATGCAACACAAAATAGGGTCTTAGAGGTGATCAATCTCTAATTCCTAACAACTAAAACCTAGGTTGGAATCAATTGCAAAACTTCTCAATCTACCCAATCTTGCACCACATATCATTCATTTCATCATTAGTTCATCATTTCCCCCTCCCCTAGCTAGAAACCTAGCCTAGAGAAGGAAGGGTCATACCAAAGCACACAAGAACATTAACAAAAGCAAAAACTAAGTCTAATGAGAGAAACATGGCTAAAACCAGAAAATAGGATGATTAAACTTTACTAAAGAAGTTAACTTTGAAGAGAATATGTTAAGTCTAATTGTAATCTATTCTAAATAGCATGAAATCTAAGCAAATAAGGATAATATTATACTAATAGCAAGAAAATAAAGGATCAAAACCAGAAATTGCAAGTTTAAACAAGGAGGCAACTAAGATATTAAACTATTCTATTGACTTGAAATAACAACTAAAGATAAGCTAAAACTAATTAAAATAGATAAATAAAGCAATAAATAAAGAGTAGGGATAGAAATAATACCAAAAGATTTAATCTTAGATTGAAAATGAAAGAGAGTGACAAAGAGTAGTGTTTTAGATCTAATGAGGAACTAAACCCTAACTAATCTAAAGTGCAAAAGAAAGAAAAAAAACAATAAGCTGAAATCTGATTTTCTAATATTTCTCTCTCTACATACCTCTCCCCTCCCAATTACAAGGAAGAGAGGTATTTATACCCTCCTCTAAAACCTAACCCAAATCAAGGCCCAAAATTTTAGGCATCACGTGCAGAGTAAAATAATTAGAGCCGTCGGCCTACGCGTGTAGCAGAGTTCAAATCGGTCAGGGGAACACGGAGCGCCCGCTCTAAGGCCAGAGCGCCCGCTCTGAAGTCTCGCAGAAAATGCTCTGATTATTCTGGGAGCTAGAGCGCCCGCTTCAACATTAGAGCGCCCGCTCTGAGGGTTGGGTACTTGGTTTTTCTGCAGCAAGGAATACAGAGCGCCCGCTCCATATCTAGAGCGCCCGCTCTGAACTCTTCTTTCCTTCATATTTTGGGCTCTAATGCTCCAATCCCTTTGACTCCAAAGCATGCCTAATCCTTGCATCCAATCCTTGCTTTCTTAGCCACGGGAGGACCTGTAAGATGGAAAACACAAATCATAGGAAAGGTTCTAATAGGAGCAAATTGAAATGGGTTAAAGGAGAGGGAATAAAACCTTAGGAAATGAGCCAAAAATGACTCAAAACCACTCCAAGTAACAAATATGCTCAATAATAACAAAACTAAGCTAAAATAGAGGAAAAAAGGCAAACAAAGGGCTCAATCGGGGAAGAAACGAAGTAGAAAAGTGGGCCAAATGGCCACTGATCAGGAAGGCGGACTCAGCATCATCCCCTCATTCAAATCTAGTCTTCTTCTGATCGCCTAGAAAAATTAAAGGCACAGGGGAATCTAATGAAAGCGTGAATAGGCGTCCATAAAGCTCAACAAGGCATGTCCAGCTGTTGAGCCGACCGGGTTGTCGGTCTATGGAAGTAGATAACTATCCTTCGGAGATGCTCTGTTTAAGTCAATGTAATCTACGCATATGCGCCAGGTACCATTCGGCTTCTTTACAAGCACAACATTTGCAACCCATTCAGGGAAGTTACATGGCTGAATAAACCCAGCGTTTAACAGCTATTTAACTTCGACGGCTGCCGCCTAACTGCACTAACTTAGCAAAAGCAGCCGTCCCCACCTTAACAGTTCACTCTGGCCGGCTGTCGTCTAGAGGAATATCAATTTTTTCACCAGCCGGCTGGGGACAAAGGTCGTTTGACCACTCCCCGGTCAGTGATTGCTATTGCTTTTCTTTTTTGACCACCACCAGCAGATTAGATTTTCTTTTCTTAGCGGCTACTAGGGTCGGATGGTCATCCTTGATATTATCAAGGTCTATTGGCTCTTTGCCCTGACCGGCTGCAGCAGCCGCAAGCTTGACGTTTGAGAGATAGCATTCTCAAGCCGTCTTCTGGTCCCCGTTCAGGGAGCCAACAGTCCCATCATCCTTCTCATACTTGACAAGCATGAGAGCAGGAATGATGACTGCCTTGCACTCGTTAAGAGTGGGTCGGCCAAGGATAAGATTGTAGGCGGTCAACTCCTCGACCACCAGGAACCGGATGGTCATGTGCCGACCGCTACCTTTTTGCCCTAGTCGGATGGGCAAATTAATGCGTCCGACCGGATGCACAATTCCTCCCCCAAAGCCCACAAGGGGATGGGAGACATCCATCATACTATCCGGCCTATATTTGATGTTGGATAGACATTTGCAGGTAATGATGTCTGAGGAGCTTCCTGTGTCAATCAAGATGTGACCAACCAATTGGTTGGCCACTTTACATTCTATGACTACAGGATCATCATGCGGCTGACGGACTTTGCCTCTGTCCTTTTTTATTATGATAACTTCAGGGAAGGCGGATGTGCTGGCCGCCTGTCCATCTTTAACTGAATGGACCATCTTTCTTAGATGGTCCTTGTTGCCCCGGATGGTTGGACCACCACCGGCGAATCTGCCTGCTATCGTATAAACTGGTTCCTCATCCGTTTCAGAGCTGATAGCTGGCTGGGGAGTCTTTTTGCTCAACTTCCCATGATTAAATTTTGAAGCCACTTTGGAATTCACATAGGATTTTAGCGCTCCTTTATCGGCTAGCTGGTCAAGCGTCCGCTTGAGGCTGAAGCGGTCGTTTGTGTCATGGTTGACATCCTCATGGCAGTGACAGTGCTTGTTCTTGTTCCGATTTTCAGCGGAACCTTTCATAGGAGTCGGCTTCTCTAGAGTCAGCCGATCCTTAATCTCTATGAGGATGGACTAGCTGTCCTTGTGGAAATCGTACCTTGGAACGTACAACTTCCACTCTTTCTTTTTCTTTTGGGCTGGCTGATCGGAGTTATCAACCACCCAGATCTGTTTTTTCTTTTTGCTCTCTTCTAGTTTTAGAGACGGCTGAGAAGGCCGACTCTTCTTCTATCGGTCAGACATCTCAGAGTCCGACTATTTATTAGAGGAGCAGAGCTCGATCGCCTGTATATAAGCTCCCGCCTCCATCAGAGCTCCTTGGAGGATGAAGATTTTCTTTAGGACGAGTTCAAACTTGAAAGTCGACCCCTCCTTCAGACCTTTGAAACAGTCTGTATAAACCACTTCGTTAGACAGTCCTTGGATCTGGATTCTCACCAGATTGAACCGCCTGACGTATGATCGCACCCCTCTCTATCCCTGTTGTACATGGCCTAGATCAAGGCTCGTTTTCTTTGCAGGGATGTTCATAGAGAAGTTAGAAGCAAACAAGAATGCAAGTGTCTTGAAGCTGTTTATGCAACCAGCCGGCAGATTGTCGAACCACTGCTGGGTTATGCCCTTTAGTGTGGCTGGGAAGCATCAACACCAGGCGGCATCATCCAACCCTTGTAAGTACATGACGTGGGTGTATGCCAAGAGGTGGTCTTCTGGGTTAGAGGTACCATCATAGGTGTTCCAACCATGACATTTTTCACCTTTGTCGGCTGTTCAGCCTCAGCTATTTCCCTAGAGAATGCAGAGGGCTGCTCCCCAAGGTTTTGTAGCCAAAACTGCCAGTCCAAAGGCTGATAGTTATATGCCGCATGTCCTTCGAAGAAGTCAGGCGTGATGTAGGGCAAAGCAGGCGGTATGTATAATGGTTGTGCCATATACTGCACCAAATTCATCACATGAGGCCCCAACTATACGAGGGGGCCGCTTGAAGGAGTCCTCGGTACTAAAGGGGAGTTCCTCACCAAGGTATTCTGAAAGCTATCGTGATAAGTCGACGTAGAAGCCGACTCCGACAGTTGCTGATTCCTTAGCTGGTCGATGTACTGAAAAGCATCAGGAAATGATTTTTTGCTACCATCCGGCTGTACATGCTGAATGACCTTTCTTGTCACTATTTCAGGGAAACGGAGTCTTGACATATCAAACTGGGGCTGAGCCTTCTCCTTTGGAGCAGGGTGAGGATTTGAATGTCGGTCCCGGACCGACTTCTGTTGTCTAGGTTTGGCAGGCTTGGTGGCCGACTGTTCCTTTCTAGGAGCAGTCGTCCGCTTGTTGATTAGTCTCTTAATTTCACCCTTGAGACTACTTATAAACTTCATGAGCTCATCATGAGTGACTGGGGCTGATCCTGCCGCCTAGGAGGCATCAGTCGGCTGCCCCAAGGGCTTACTTGAGGGTCTTGGGGGCCTGTTAGGACCCGCCTGGTTAGCATTCTGCTCCCGCTTGTCTTTGTGACGGAGGCGCTTAGAGATTAGTGACCCATCTTGGGCCACGTAGTTTTGACGTC